CGTCGTTGTGCTTAAAATTTGCTCTTCCGTAGCAAAAATGCATATCGCGATATTCAATATTTCAATTCACAAAAATGGTGACAGAAGCAATATTAGTAACTATAGAGGTATATGCATACCAACTTTTTGATAAACTATTCTGTCAGCATTTTTCCTGGTATTGTAAAAAAATTATGTGTGACAACCAGCACGGATTTTCTCGGGGTAGGTCCACTGTGACTAACCTGCTGACTTATCAGCTGGATCTGTTGGATGCTTTTGAGAAGACTAAACAAGTGGACAGTGTCTACATGGACTTTTCAAATGCATTTTACAGAGCATTTTGTCACAGATTTTTAACAGGGCGTACACAACAGGTCCGAATCAACAGTTTTCTTTAATTTGATTATAAGAGAACTGAGTAATCTGGTTTTTATTCTGAACATCTTGCCTTTGCAGATGATTTTAAATTTTACAAAACAATTGAATCATTTATGGACGATCAGCTTCTTCAGAGCGACCTTAATAATGCCAGTTCGTGATGCAGAGAAAATGGTCTGGATCTAAATGTTGGAAAGTGTTTTAGTATTACTTTTCCTCGGATTCCTCATGCGTCGGATTTTGCTTTTTCGAAATTACTAATGTTTCGCCAATCATCCTGTTGGCTTCTTCAGAGCTTGACTGAAAGCGATGCTGACATTTTCTCGAGTGTAGATGAAAGTAATCAAGATATAATACGGCGTAAAATTTACCATGTATACGAGGAATAAAGCGTGCCCACATTAGATATCTTCATTAGGAGGCGTGAAAAAGTTGAAACCGGTGTTAAATGTGGCAAAACTACCTTATGGAAGTGTATTCAACACATAGGTTTTAGATTTAAAAAAATTGGCAAAAGGCAAGTTTTAATGGAGTCTTTTAGAATTCGGAAATGGCAACTGGAATATCTAGAAAAAATTTGGATTTACAGAGAACAACAAAGGCCAATTATTTACTTGGATGAAAGCTGGTTCGACACTTATGATACCTCGGAAAAGGGTTGGGTTAACTTAACTGATAAGTGTAAAAGAAACGCGCCATCAAAAGAGGTAAAAGAATAACTATTTCGCATGCTGGCTCTAAAGATGGTTGGGTTCCAAATGGACTCTCTCTGTCTGCGAAAAATATTAAAGATTCTTCTCTGAATTACCATGAAGACACAACCGCTGATTTATTCGAAAGTTGGTTTAAAAACAAACTATTGGGTTGTTCGGAAAGTCATTTCGTTTTTTTTGGGGAACATAAAAGACAGTTTTCGTATAATGAATAAATATTTTATTAAATTATATATTGGCCATTCTGGCCCAACACCTTTTGCCATCTTTCTGGCAGTAACATAATTCCCCTCTCATAAAAGTTTCGGTCCTTGCTGGCAAAAAACTGGTTCAGGTGGTTTTTGACATCTTCATTTGAGGTAAAGGTTTTGCCATCCAAAAAATTTTGCAGGGACCGGAACAAATAGTAGTCGGAAGGCGCCAGATCTGGAGAATATGGTGGATGTTGCAGTACGTCCCATTCAAGTTGTAAAAGTTTTTGGCGATTGACCAAACTTGTGTGAGGTCTCGCATTATCCTGGTGGAACACTACACCCTTCCTGTTGATTAATTCGGGCCTCTTCTCTTTAAGTGAATCATTCAATTTGTCCAGTTGATGACAATAGACTTCTGAATTGTCCGGCAAAAGCTCAAAAAAAAACGATTCCTTTGACATCCCACCAAACGGAGAGCATCACCTTTTTTTGGTGAATGTTGGCTTTTGACACGCTTTGAGCCGGTTCATCTTTTCTGCTCCATGACCTCTTGCGTTTAACATTGTTGTATACAACCCATTTTTCGTCCCCAGTAATAATCCGCATCAAAAATGGATCATTTTCTTGACGTTTGAGGAGCGAATCACACACGTCAACGCGACGACACAAATTTCGCTCCGTAAGGACATGGGGCACCCACACATCGAGCTTCGAGGTTAAGCCCATGCCTTTCAAATAGCCATAAACAGTCGAATTCGACAAATTTAATCTCTCACCGATCTCTCGTGTGGTTATTCGCCGATTTGCATCAACTAATGCCTTTATGGCATCTTTGTCAGCTTCGACCGGCCTTCCAGACCGTGGTGCATCTTCGACATCAAAATTGCCGGATCGAAATTTTGCAAACCAGTTCTGGCACTGGAGTACTGTTAACACGCCTTCTCCATACACATCCGTCAATTTTTTTCTCGCTTGGACAGCATTTTTACCTTTTCTGAAGTAAAAAAGTAAAATATGACGAAAATGCTGCTTATTGCTCTCCATATTTAAAAGGGCACCAACCAAAAACTACTGCGTAGAATTAATAGAACTTTTTCACACACAAGCCTTGCAATATCAGCTCTCAAGACATATAATGGTTATGCGGCTTAAGTGTGAAGTTGGTTTCGAAAAAACGTAATTAAGTCCTCTGACGGGAAAAAACGAAATGACTTTCCGAACAACCTTATAGTTCCAAACATTCCACCTAATAGCGTAATTTTAATGGACAATGCAAGTTATCACAGTAGACAGTTGACTAAAACCCCTTCCGCATGTGACACAAAAGCAACAATCCAAAACTACATGAATATTAACGACATTTATTTTCACGAAGATTATACCAAAAAGCAATTAATTGAGGTTCTACAAAGCTTGAACCTACAAAAGGAATACGTCTGTGATAATTATGCACAAAAATGTAGGGCATACAGTTTTAAGGCTTCCATCCTACCACTGTATATTTAATCCCGTCGAACACGTATGGCACCAACTGAAATCTTGCATTCGTCGTAACAATGTTTTTCCCCCTGTTAACTCCAATGTCCCCAAACTTATAGAAACCGAAGTTTTTAACATCCCTCCACAAAGTTGTGCAAATTCTGTTAAACATTTAGAAAAAGCAGAACAATCGTATATACATATTGTAAATAATATAGAACAAACAATAATTAGAACAGGCGATGATATCCATGGTGATACTGACATATTATGCGAATAATTTTAAGTAATTTAAGTGGGTGACAAAAATAATCTGTAATTTTATTTTACATTTAAACATAAATAGATACATAAATAAATAAATATTGTTTAGTATCTTTCCTAACAAAACCCCAAATAATTAAATTCTAAGCAAAGTACTGACCTGTTCGGCCATATTTCATTCTTACAGCTTGCCCGGGTCTTTCCTTAATTCGTATCAATTAGTCACTTCCTTATATCTATGAACAGACTTTACCTATAGATACTACAATTGGAGGCGGGGGCGATAATGGCGTAACCGTACGGAAAACGGAACAAGGCAGTAATGCGTCCAGTAAATAACTTGAAATAAGACAAGCCGAATGTCGGGTGTCGGACTCGAGTCGATCCGGGAAGAAAACATTGGATAATAAATCAGAGAGGGGCAAGGGGACTTGGGAGCGGCGCCTCGAGGGTCTTTCCCGTGGGAGGATAGCGGGCGGGACGAGTTAGAAAATCCCGCAGGATACTTACGTGCAGCCGTATTGAGGTTTGACGAGATATATAGGTATACATACGGCCATATTCGATCGATTTGAATCCGGCACTAGCTCGGCCGTGCAAAACATGGTCAAACGAACTACGCGGATGATAGCGTCGGTGTCTGGAAAATACCGTCTGAAACGGTTAATGCTGACGTAAAAATAGACCAGAAAAAAACGTCGTTTTTTTTTTCATTAATTTTTATTTGTTTTAACAACATCGTATAGACTATCCGATAAAAAGCAATCCAATTAAAAGCAATGAATAGTGATGAACGTAAGTACAATGCCGATCATCAAATCAACGACTGGTTTTGTCACAGAAAATATACTGAAGAACATCAAACTTGGGTCTCAGTGATCACTTATCTAATATTTCTCTCAATAAGTTGAAAGCAATAAAAATTAGTGACCTGATATAATTTTTTTTCAAGGAGTTCATTTTTTATAATGTGTTCTTCCTTTTTTTCTGGAAAACTTTTTGGTTCAAGTGGTCCCATAGTAGTCAAGTAATGAAGAGGGACCAGGTTAGGCGATCTAGCATGCCAAAAACGATCAGAATATCTATGGAAAATGTTTCTATGGAACATAGCTTCAAGAAATTCTAACACCACTACTAAATTATACTCAATGTTTGGAAAAACTGTAAATAACTTTCGCCATTCAGTCGCCAGTTGGGAGGTCCTAATCATCTGTTTTTATTAATGCTACACCAAAACGTTAATCTTAATAGTATTTTATGGGAGGGAAAGACCGAAAACATCCGATTGCTCCCAAAACCATTGCAATAAAATCCCGGAAATGTCCGAAGTGGCTCGGATCCGTGGGAAACGAAACTGACGTGAAAAAGTGACGCTTTCAGCATGCTAGATCGGTGAGTAATTAGGTATTTTACAGACGGGAGTAGGATAGGAGTATTATTAGTGAAACTATATTACAAAATTGGGATTTTCGAGAAGAATAAGTCTTTTTAGTAAAATTACTCGTTAATAAATCAAACCACTTCTAAATGAACCGATTTAACCGCAAAACATACCGATCAAATTAATTCCCTATTGGTTTGGTGGCGGTTAAAACTGTTTGGAAACGACCTGGATTTTACGGTCGAATTAACCTAATTTAAAAACAATTGTTTCTAAAATCGAACCGGCAACCAGCCCCCCGATCCCAACTCACACACGCACACACCTACACCTTCTCTAGTAACACTGAATAAAATATGATGGTTCTTCGGCATTTCAACATTCACTATTAGTTGTTTTATTTTCATTTTAAATTACTTGCTTTGCGACTGTAGCTAAGAAAACACTCATAAAAAGGAGTTTTAGAAATTAAATAGAGACGTTGAAACAACAGTTGAAATATTTCAAATATTTGGACCTATATGCGTTTAAATAGTTCTCTGACCTAGACCTATTCGGATTCTTCTTATTATAGAATTAAATTAAGCAAACATATAAGTTTTAGCTGACTGTTTATTGTCAAGGAGCTTCTAAACCTGATCGAATGACTAACACAATCACATTCTTTTGTCGTTGGACTTATCGTCATTGCCTTTTTTGGACGCACCCGCGTTCAGCTTCGAATCGTTCGACGTGCCTTTGGCGCCCCTATCCAAAACTTGTTTTAAACTCGTGCCCAGTTTGTCGATAGCCTCCTGCTGCTGGTTGGTTGCCTTTTGGTAGTATTCGCGATACTGTTTGGTCACCTCCTCCTTCCCCACGCTTATCAATTTGCACGTGGTCTTGGCCGCGACCACCAACACCATTTTGGTCACTTCGAAGGTAGCTTTCGCTACACTGAAGATTTTTTCTTTCGACATGTCCGATTGACGTTTATTGTCAAGTTGAATGACGAGACATCCAGGTTTGTGTTTCGCTAATGTTCTATCTTTTATAAGCAATAAGAAGAATTATAATTTCGGCTGCATACCCTGGGCACGTGTTTAATTCCTTATATTTCGCCAGAGGTTCTGCAAACGGAAAAATTTTGACAATTTTAAAATATTGTAATTATCACCTATAGGCATATATGCTGACGATACTCGAATTTACTTTTCTTTTCAAGATCCTGAAATGACGCAGTCTGAAACGCATTCGATCATTTACTGCAGCTAAATCCAACCGGGTCGTCGACGTTGATTTTTAGAAATGACTTCCATAAATTTTAATGACACTCCTATACCATACATACTAGACTGCAGCTCAAGGATTACATTATAAAAAAAATATTATCATAGATATTTTCTTCCAATTGTTACAAAGAAACCACTTTGTGACTACATCGTTCTGTCACAGCTCAATCATTACTGTGCTGTGTAAGAAAAATATATATGTATTTGCGGCTTGTTTATGGAGTTCGCTGGCTAAATTGATTCAGTATAAATCTCCTGAATATCTGTTTAACAAAATCACTTTTCGTACAGATGTTCATGGCTCGAATCCAAGGAAAAATTTTATATTGAGAATACCACATCAAAAAGATATCTTTAAAAGATCATTTTCTTATAACATTTAAGCCTTTTCGATTTAATAATGTCAACTAAAACTTTTAAAAACTTACCCTTCCTTTTCCTTTGTTTTTCGAGTTCTCTCTTTATCGAAAACTATATTTAATGAACAGTGTATAAACTCGGCGTAACTTATTTAATTTTTATTTTTATTTTTTAAATTAATTTGATATACATTATTAGGGGCTGCGGTTTTGGACTAATAAACAATGGGTAAACTTAATCATGGGGTCTGTTGTAACGGCACTATATTTTTGGTCGAAGTATAGTTGTTGGCATCTAAGTTCTTTCAGACGTTCTTCTTTACGATTGAGCACTTATAACTGTCAAATCGGACGAATAACCGCGCGCCCCCATCTGCGACCCTCGCGCCGCAAACTTATCCACTTAGGGCATTAAAACAATGAAACCGTTGCACCCTCAACGATAATAAAAAGACGTACGGCCGAACTAAAATTGGATTACCCGACTATACAATTTAGTGGAATTGTTTCCGGCCGCAGGAACGAAGTATCTAATCCTCAAAGAACAATATACACAGGAATAATATTAATCTCCCGGTTTCGCTCCCGGAAAACAAAGATACGCCAATTTAACCGGCGGAGTGGGTGCGGCGTAGGGCGGGGGGGACCAGCAACGAAATAAAATCGCTAAGTTGTGTGTTCGGTTTAAATTCGGGCCCCCTGCCGGTGGAGTACATTAACTAAATAAGAGTAATCCATACGCCGGACAGGTTGAATAGGTTCCGGCGTTGGAAAATCATGTCTTGGAACACGGAAAAAGAGGGCGGGAAGGAGGCATCTGCCCCCGAGCCTCCCCAGGCCGTCGGGGTCGACGGGGGACCGTTTCCGCTAATTCCTCATATCATCCCTTATACGACTTTTATTCTCGGTCTTTTATTTCCGTTTTGGTTGGGAGCACCGTTTTAATATGCAGTAAATATCCCTGCGGTTTTGTCTGTTTACAAACGCGCCATCTTTTTGACCCGGAAAGGATTTCGAAATAGGGGGCGACGCGATTTAAATCGCTCGGCGTCGCAGATAAAATTGTTCTACAATTATTGCCTACAATTATTTATCTGATTCGTTTTGCGCGATATCCCCCGTTGGGGCTTCTATTTAGTCCTGGATTTATCGTATCGTTAGATCCTGAATTTGCGCAAACGTCCACGGACATATTATAAATATACAGTGATAATTCCCATAACCGGATACTCGCGGTTCCTCTAGTTTTGTCGGATCATTAAAGGTGTATGAAAAAACATACAAAAAACTATCGAAAAATTATTATATAATTATTAATTACATATACATATAATATATATATATATATATATATATATATATATATATATATATATATATATATATATATATATATATATATATATATATATATATATATATATATATATATATATTCTCACGTATTGATTCACGGATGGAAAAATGTGATGACACTATACTCCGGGATATCATCCGTTCGCTCGTTGAACTCCGACTGGAATCCTGCATCCGACTGGAATCCTGCAAATCCTGCATCTGACTGGAATCCTGCAGACGTTTCGCCAAAATCTCACTTGGCATCTTCAATGCTCGCGCTCCGAAAACACTTCGAACACTCGAGTGTTCGGATATATATATATATATATATATATGTATATATATATATATATATATATATATATATATATATATATATATATATATATATATATATATATATATATATATATAATTATTATAATTATATTATATTAATATATATAATTATTAATTTACAAACTAATCATATTTCTTTTTTTTTGTTATAACAAACTTGACAGAAAATGATCTAAATTTTTAAGGAAATAAATTTTAAGGCTTCATTATAGCTGTTAATTGTGTTAGGTTCCTTACTATCATATTCTTCTTCCGGTTCAGGTCCTTTAATTTTTTCAATTGCATCTTGAATGCTCAAACTAGTCTTCTCAGTCTCTGAAATGTTGTCGATTCCAACATAGTTTTTATGTTCATTTCTCTAACACATCGTTTGATTTCAAGTTTCTTAGATAGTGAGGATCTGGATCTGGATCCAATTCCATGGATGTAGGAAAATTATTATATTTTCGAAAACCAGCTTGGCTGAAACAATTTTGTATGGTTTCTGACGAAACTTCATTCTAGCTGACCTATTAATAAAATAAAGTGCTTCTAAAGTAGTTACAGACTTTGCTAAATCTGACGCGGACATTACTTGATCCATCTTTGATATAATGTGTTTCAGTATTAGTCCACGATAAAAGAATTTAACATTCTGTATGATACTCTAAGGTTGACATACTGATGTCGTATTTGGAGGCAAGAAGGTAATTTTTATGTTTTGTTATTTTACCTCACAGGGGTGCAATGCTGCGTTATCCAAGAATAATAAAATTTTTCGCTTTTGTAGGGCCATTTTTCTATCAAATTGTAACAACCATTCATTCATAATGTCTCCTATAATCCATGCAATAATTCCATTTTTAATTGTTACCTTTTTAAATGCCCTAGGTCGGAAATAACATTATAAATCTCTCCTTGGAACGCCTTCCAGCACTACATTTTTCAGATTTCAAAGCAAGTGAAAGTTACTTGTAACGCCGTACCTGAAAATTATGGTCATCGTAATATGTAACGTGCGGACAAATAATATGTAAAAAAATATTGTCAAATATTTAAAACTTAATGATATGACAAAGTTATTACAAAGAAATAATGTCATTTACGTGCTCAAGTTTGGAACAAGTTTAGACTTTCACTACTTTACTGAACCATACAAAGACATACATAGTTTAACTATACTATGTTAATCCTCTAAAAATTGTACCTATAATAAGTTACAGAAAAAACAAATGATATAAATTATAGTAACTTTTGGGTAATATCATTTAACGAGAATTAATTGGTTTTATAACATTTTGGAACTCCGTGATATGTAGGTACTATATTACCAATTTTAGTTTAAGCTCGTTAATAGAGAGTTAGAAGATATTTTTCATATTTTATTTTGAAATTATGTAATGACATGTCAAGAAAATGGTTGGGAATTAAGTTGAAATACTTTACAGCGTCGTATGAAAATGAGCGCTGAAAGATTGCACTGTTATAAGGTGTCATCGTTAGTTTGACATTATTTCTAATATTAACTGGCGAATTGGGATTATTTATTACCTTAAACACAAATGTCGAGAAAAGTAGGATTCTTCGCTCATCCATTTTGAGCCAGTTTATATCGTTGTATAAGTGTGATACATAATCAAATTTCCTGACTCTATACTGTACCCTCTGAACACACTTCATATCATAGACAAAGTCACAATAACTGAAATTAGAGACTACCAGGAATTCACACAGACTTCGTTTCAGTTGTTTACTTAAAATATGTCTATTATTTCATGGAGGCTAAGGATTTTTTAAATATTTTTTTAGGTGTTCTTTGAATATAAGACTGGTGTCCAAGATAAATCCCAGATTCTTAGCACAATTTTTAAAATTTAATTTTGAGTTGCCGACCACTATATTGAATTTGCTCTTGAGGAACTTAAGTTAAGAGTAAAGTTGTGGTAGTCAGACAGAGTTTGAAGGACATCATGAATGTATGCTTCAAATTCTTTATAATTGTCGGGGCTGAACCTATAATAAATTTTCGCAAAGGCTTGAATTTTACATATATTAAATTTTTCCAGTCCCAATTCTGGTGTTTTCAAAAATACCACTCAACAAAGTCGAAAACTCATGTCGAAATAGTACAGTTGAAAGTTGAAAATCGAGGCCACGAATCTGTGCCCTATGAAGAGGGGGCGGTGAAAAAAAAAAACAAATCGACTCTGCACTCCATGAGACAGAAAATCCTGCCCCCCGAAATTAGGAATTCGCTCGCCGTGATTTTTCCGGGAAACGTAATCGAAAACGGATCGCAGGGAAAACACCGCGAAGTGATTGTTGGAAATTGCCTCGCTCTTTCCACGGTCGCAATGGAAAAGACTTCCGCGGGGAAGAAGGAATTAACCGGCGAGATATGATTTCTTCGCCGTATAAGGAAAACTCGGAGGGGGGTCATCAATCAACATTTTACGTGCCGCGTCCCCGCCTCCTCGGGGGGCAGTTATTCATACTTTCGGAGCATTAACGTCTACTAAACAGTTTTTCCGAAGGCGGTAAATCCGACCCAATATGAATAGTGAGTTATGCGCCCGGCTAACGTGTTTACGGTGCAATATTTCAGACTACTCTGTAAACTGAGCGGCCATCAATACGACCTGTCTCGTTTCGTAAAATACACACGGTGGACGATTTTTCAACACGAGCGGAGCAGCTGAATTTGATACGTTAATAAAGTGCCAGGACGTCCCCACATTTAAATACGTGGCGGGGTCACATTTGTCATATTTTGTTTTGTTTTGTATAAATAATATCCGGTGTCACGGAAAATCTACCATATACGATAAACTTACATAAACCGAAAATCTATGAAGTCAGTACTTTAGTAAAAGTTACTGCCGTTAAGAATGTTCGCTCTTCGTTTCAATCTTAATTTTTATTGTCAAATACGATTTTCGGTTGCAACAATTATTTTATGCCTATTAATAATACAATGTAATAATAGTTAATGTTTCAGTAATGTTGTGGTGTTTTCTTTTTATGTCAAATAAAATTGACAGCGACCGGAATTGATGTATAAACCTTTTTTCTTTTTTGATAATCTAGAACCTATTTTTTAACCAAAACTGCCGAAATGACTCCAGAACCCCCATAGTCTCTCTACTAAAAAAATACATTGCGTGCACAGCAAAGCATAATAGTTTCTGCGTATTAAACATATTATTATTATTATTGTTTTTGCCCTTCAGGTTTGTATTGTCAGTTTGTTTAAATTTTTAGAATTTTTAACGTGTGTCGTAGTATGGTATTTATTAAGCACTTAGTCTAAACCTTTGCGTAATTATTATAATTAAACTTAAATTTAACTAAGTGGAAACGAAAAGATCGATAGAAAAGCTTACTAGACGATTTGACCAAAAGACCATAGAGCAAGCGGTTCCACACGGCAGTGTTCTTTTGCCATAATTTTTCAATATTCATCTCCAAATACATTTTGCCAATGTTGAAAATAATTTTAAAATATACAAATGAAATTAAAAAAAAAACATGATATTTCTAACGGCAGCGGGGGTGTTGTTGGTTATTAGTTTCATAAATTTCCGATATAATCTGTTGTGCAAGCACTGGTTGAAAAACCGAATGTTTTGAGTATATATTGGGGATTGTATTAATAGTTTAAAATACCAAATAGCCAAGAAACCCTTTTCAACTTATTTTCAGGATTGCACTGAGGTGACGAATATAACACAGTTAAATGAGAACAAAAAATGTCCAGATTTTCATAGATATTTATTGGTTTATATATATGTAAGGTTATAAATTTAAATATAACAAGTGAGACTAATTGAGATCTAATTAAATAATAATTAATTAAATTAAGTAATACATTCGAATATCTCATTTTCTTAATCTCCAACTTATTTTACTTTTCGCTTTTTGGTTCATTATGTAAAATATCAAAACTGTTGCCAAACTTGTGTACTTCTGAACTAAAGTGAATTAAATGTTCTACATGTTTTTCCAATATAATTTTTTTCCTATATTAAATATTAAACCAAAAAATTTAGAAAACAATAAAATACATAGGAGAATTTCGAAACATCTATCTAAATTTGGTATCAAAATTGCTTTCAAAACTGGAAACTCCATAGAAAAAATTTTGACACAATAAAAAAGTCACAAGGTTAGAAAATGGTGGTTGTATGGCAGCGTGCCGTTTTCCCCGTTGTAAACGCCAGCAAATGCGATAATAATAAATGTTTCAGTAGTGTTGTGGTATTTTCTTTTTATTGAGGCAGAAATATCGGCACATTTTCTTTTCTTTGTGTTTCTTTTTAATTGGCACGGACTGACTGAATTGAGAAAATTCAATAAAATATTATTTTCTGGTAATGTCAATAAAAGCATACCTCTAAGAGATGCACAGTCATTCTTTGTTTTTTTTTTCTATGATATGGATCCTATTCTTTTACCGAAACTGTCGAAACGACATTAGAACCCTCATAGTCTCTCTACTTACACATTCGTTCCACTTACAGCAAATCGAAACAGTTTGGGCATATTAAACTTAAAACATATTATTATTGTTATTATTATTATTGTAGACCTTCCATGTTTTTATTTTTAATTTGGTTAAATCTTTAAAACTGTCTTATTATGATATTTATGACACATTTAACCTAAGTAATATATACATTTCTAAAACTAAGTTGGAATGGAAAAATAGATATAAAATCTTAGGAGACGGTTTGGAACAAAGTTCGTGGACACGGCAGTGTCCTTTCTGCATAATCTTTCAATATTGTCATAATGATAAAAAAATTTCAAATTTATTTTTAGTGATTTACTACAACTGTTTCGCTGTGCCTTCATCAAATGCAAAATATGACGGTATTCCGACATAAAGATATACAGACCGTTAGTAATAGATTCTTAATTACCATTTTAGGGTTATGAATTTAAATTTAACAAGGGAGTCCCATTTAAATCCAATTGGTCATTAACAAATACATTGGACTATCTCATTTTGTTCATCTCCGTAACGTCCAACAAATTTAGCTTTTAGCTAACCAAAACTAACCAAAACTGATGTATGCTTCTTTTCATTTCAGCATTTGTAAACGTCGGGCGCGCGGTCAAAATAAACAGACTCAAGGTGCCGCAAATAATAAAACACGGCTCGGAAGCCATCTTGGACTGTGATTTTAGCATAGACGAAAGTGACAGCGACCTGGTCGTCAAGTGGTACTTCAACAAGACGCTCGTCTATCAGTGGATACCAAGTGGGTACTCAAAATAAAGCGCCCAAAAATATTAGATATTTAGAAAAATCGAAATATCCCGAAATTCCTGGAAATATAATAAATAAAAAGTCAAAATGAATCCAAGCAACTTTTGTATTTACTTATTCAATTTCTTCTCGTTCCTGAGATAAAAGGTAGTGCCTCATAAACGAGCTTTCGATAAAACAAAGGAAAACGTCGCGTGCGTGACGTCACGAAACAGACGCGTGTACGCTGCCGGACGAGTGATCCTGTACGAATCGAGAACCCTTGATTCTCTGGTCTGCGGTGCAAACGCCGTAGCAAAATCGAGCCGGCTGTGGACTCCATCGCAGAAATGTCCAATTCTCTGGAAAATATTAACGCGATATCTTGCGGAAATTGACAGTTTTATCTGTGGCGGGCGATAGCGCGCGTCTGTGGGACAAAGTTTGAGGTTTCGGGCGATAAAATTTCGGGATATTTAAATTAAAACGATCTCGGACAGCGGTGAGATAATTTTCTCGATGCAGGCACCAAGATGCGACCCCAAGGACTCGGAATACTCAAGGACCGTCTCAATTTAGAGTACCAGGCGAGCGTAGACGTGAACAGCATCCACAGGGCGCTGCACATTCTCAAGGCCGGGCCCGATTTATCGGGGAATTACACATGCTCGGTGTCGACGTTGGAAGGCGAGGACATTAGGACGAAGAGCATGCTGGTATTGGGTAAGTCTTTGCTCGTATTCGAAATCGCTAGCGTCAGCGTCAACGACCTTCAATTGTTTTTAATTTCTCGAGAAGGTGGTGTTGCGGTGTGCACTTCGCGGAGTATTCCAATCACTTAAGCAAGTTCCGGGGACCAGACCTTTTAAGCAAATGCCGTCGCCTTCGCCCTGTCTTGGGTGGGGGCGGAGGGCGAGATGAGAATCGGATCCGCTTACGTAACCCGGCGATAAAGTTTTATTTTTTTTTCTTCATCGTCAGCTGTACACCGTGCGCCAAATAAAACGATCCACAATACGACTCAGAAACCCATAGGTGATACGAAAAAAAGTTTCTTGGACTCTGCTGAAGTTTTAAAATATTATAATTTTGTTAATACAGTGTCCCCCCTACTTTTTTATTTTAAGTTAAAATAAAGGTCCCTTTCTTAAGAAATTACTATTCGAATTTTGCATAATTTAGGCAGAAATTGGGGTTATATGTTGTTTTTTATATTTTGATTGCCCCATATAAAATTGTGTTGTGACGCTACTGATCCAGGTATTGCAACCGAAATTTAACCACAGGCTAAGAAGATGACGTACTATTCAATCAGTTTGGAAGATGCGCCTCACTATATACAGGGTGTCGCAAATATGATATCAATTCTAGGACAAAAATAAGGTAGGTTCGTAATTTGGGTTTAAAATAACATCCGTATAAATTCTTGCTGAATTTAAATCTGCCACATTAGGTGACCTGTTGGCAAGATTAGGCATTTGTTAAATAGCAAAGACATGATACTACAGGGTGTGCATTAATACCTGCAAATTTTGGAAAAAATCGAGTAGTGCATCATCTCCTTAGTCTGTATTTAAATTTTCGTTTCAATATCTGAATCAGTACACCCCGTATAAATTCTTGTTGAGTTGAAAGCTGCCCACATGTTGGCAATATTAGGTATTTTTTATATAGCAAAGACACGATGCTAGTTTCTTTTAAAAATATAATACTACAGATATACAAATAAAACCTATTGCCAACAATACAGGGTGTCATTAATACGTGGAAATTTTGAAAAAAATCGATTCTATACTAGACACTTTAACAGATTTAATAAAACTTCAGAATTCATATTTAAGGAAACATTAAACAGTTAATTATATAGCTTGATTGAAAATACCTAATAACAAAAATGAATAATTAAAGTTTATAGCCTAACTAAACAAGGTAACAAATTTGAATAAATAAATTTATAAAACAAAAAAAAACACAAACAAATAACTGTATATCTGTAAAAAATTTAAATATGGTGATACTGTAATACTGTAATATATTTCCAATATATTGTTCAACCTCCGCAATACACAATTCTATAGGGGGGAGGGCACTTTGTTTCAACAAAATTTTAAATTTGTAAATCTTCAGGAGAGTCCAAGAAACTTTTTTCGTATCTCGTATGGGTTTCCAGAAAATCGTATGGTGGATCGTTTTCTTTGGCACACGTTGTACAGGGTGAGTCAATGATAATGAATAAAGTTCATGATCTCATTGGTTTCAAAGTTTATGAGATACTAGTTTTCACACTTGCGAAACAATGATTATAGCGCCTTTATTTTTAAAGTTAGATCAATCATATTCGATATTAGGATTATTCGAAGGTGATGTGTAAGATTTGTGCAACTGAATTTCAATTAGATGCTACAGGGCGCTCAAAGTAAACGAATGTATTTGGATAATTTTACATTGGAAATATCTCTATTTTCTTAAATGGCACACCATATATATATTTTTTTTAAAGATCTTACAAACACTTACAACTTTTATCAATAATGTCGTATACTTTTTTTTAATACGATACGATTTTAGCTTTTCCAATATTTACCTTTCTTTCGGTCTAAGACCATTGACTATAATATTAGTTGACTATGATTAACCTATTAGCCAACACGGCTCAGTTAAGATTAAACAGTAAATAGGAATAAGAACTTTATCGGAGCGGTAAGTAAAGCAACAGACATTTAAATACCTATTATTACAAAAACTTATCTTATTTTTAATTGTTAATTAATTATTTATATACCCTTCTACTTGGACTTTGCTAGGGTAAATGATGTTGTTCTGTGACTTCACACCGGTAGTGTTTAGTCACATGATCGATGGAAGGGGGGGGGGGCATTCAATGAATTTTCTACCGACCCATTTCTGTGTGTTATGTTTTTTAAAAATCGTCGAACTTCTCGAATTTTAAATATCTTGGATCGTTAAGTGATTCACGAAAACTAAGTTTGAAGTGTTTTAAGTCCAATGGTTTTTGGTTTTCTACTTCTCGTACCCAGAACGGATTAACTGTTTAATAATAATGCATGCTGTGCGATTAACTGCGGAAAACCTTATTTTAGGCACAACAATATTTGGATCGGCCTCTTTCTTTGTGACGTGCCTCTTGGGCCTCCTCAGAGAGCTGCCCAATAGGCACAACACAACGTTTAATAATATCTGTGGAATGCTATAGCAGTTTCTGGACGGTTATGGGCATATAATACCACGAGTAAAGACTTAAATATTTTAAATATTTCTTCTACAAGGTTTTTCTTACTAGAGACACTCCAGAATTGAAACAACGTTTTTTTCGATATTTCGTACATTTCTAAAAACGAAAAAACAAAAGTAAAGTTTGTAGTAGTTTACACCCTTGCCTAATAAAAAATGTATATTTTTGCTTGGCACTCGTTGGCCTTCATATTTTTTTACTCTATAGAATTTGAAAAATTAAATATTAATGGTACTTATCCCGTCAAAAACACAAACATTCTACATTGCATGTACAGGTCTAAACTAATTAACAGGACTGACATCAGTTGTTAAATACTTAAAGCGGCATTTGTTTTCAAGCCCTACTAAGCCATTTAAAAAGTACGAAAACTTCGTTATTTTATTGAATCGATTGCAATAAAAATAGACTTTCCTTTAAACATCTGATATTGTGCCTTCATAAAAAATTCTTGGTAAAGTATTTTTAGAAAGCAATACTGTGTTTATATGTTTCAGTATGTTCTTAGTTTGAAAACATTAACAAATTTTGGATTTTTAATAATGATTTATTACAACCTAGTTTATGAATGGGGCCCACATTGCGGTGTGGCCTACACATTCGAATGCCCTACTGAGACCACAATTCCTATAGTTAAAGATGAAGATAAAAAATGTATCGAAAAATATCAACAACTCAAAGTGGTTAAAATACAGTGACCGGAGTACAGTACAGTACAGTACATACCTCTTGGCCCATTGCGTTTTGGAGCTACATTGTGATTTTGAAAATTTCTCGATTTGCGGCACCCCTCAAATCTCTGTTAAATATTTAAGCTAAACTAAAAATGTCCATAGAGATTTTTTTACGAAGAACTTACTATGATAGTTTTTTCAGATTTTTCAAAAAATTATAACATAGGGCTTTCCAATTATATAAATTTTAGTATATTAAAGTGCAATTTTTTGTACAAGTATAATGGATAATAAAGTATGTTTTACTTTTATGCAAATTTTATAAATGTCTTATATAGGTACCCAGAACCAACCCAATAAGACGATATTTTGACCAAAAACGCATAATAAACCGTATCGGGAAATTAATGTTTTGACGACGGTTAGAACAACTTCTTCAAATTCTTGTAAAAAAATGATTATAATGTTGGCGTTTAAGAATTTAACCGTTCAAATTTTTTTTAAAAAAGACACAAGCTTAAGCCTTATAAATTTGAGTTAGTTCATAATTTTTATCCCAGGACTAACAACGAAGAGTAGAATTTTGTCATTCGTATTTGCAAAATATCAACAGGAAGAGGCATTTTTATATGAAAATTATCTGTTCTGATGAAGTTATATATTTTCTATAATCGTTACTGGTTCCAAGAAAACGAACTTGTTGTTACATTTTATTTATTACAAAACACTTGTAATGTTTTCTTGAACTTTTTTTTAAGTACTTTTTTGTCAACATTGAGATTTTTCAGTTCATTAGGTAATTCATTAAAATATTTTACTGCATTTGATTTTGTATATATTCATTTTTCAATTCACTATATTGACACACTATTGAATTCACCACAAAAGCTTGTTTGATACTCAGTGGTCTATCCGCATCTGGTTCTTTTATTCCAATAATTTTAAGAATACGCTTCTGAAGCCGATCCAACGGGTCAAACGAAGAACTGTAGACCTCCCCAGCCTATGACTGCTTTCTTGTTAGTAGTTTTTTATTATATTTATATTGTTTTTATTATATTATATATAATAGTCGTAAATTATTCCACAGTATAACATTTTTTATAATATGACCAAGTGATTGCTTGAAAAATGGCTTTTGTATATCTGTTTTCCAGCAATCTATTATACAGCTTGTGTTAAAATAATTTTAGTCAGATGAAACGGGTAACCTTTTTTATAGAATAGTTATCTACATTTAATTTTTTATAGAAACTTCCACAAGCTACTGTAATACTTTTTATAAAACTTCTGGATTCCTTCTGCGTCGGTTTTTGTTGAGTCGACGTTTCGTCAATCATCCTTTGAGCTTGACTCAGACTGGCTCGAATCTGCTTTTCTATTCTTTGAGGGAGGAGGCGAAGCTAAATGAGGGGCATAAACACCGTCTCGGATGACTGAGACAAAGACCTGAGTCGCGGTTAAGATTGTTAGGTTGCTTATAGATTTCGTGAATGTGCTCGGCAACTTCTGTTGAGTTAATTTGTCTTAGTCTTAAAGCTCTTTCATGTTCTCTGGGCCTCCCTCAAACAATATAAAAGAAGGTGCAGAGTAAAATGCGAGCCATTTTCAGTCACGCTCTGAAGAAGCCACCAGGATAATTGGCGAAACGTTAGCTAGTTCGAGTCAACAAAAACCGACGCAGGAGGAATCCAGAAGTTTTATAAAATGTATAGTTATCTATAAGGTTGTTCGGAAAGTCATTTCATTTTTTCCCGTCAGAGGACTTAATTACGTTTTTTCGAAACCAACTTTAC